TTAAATGAATATTGTCTTAACAGAAAAAGGAAAGGACTAATATATATTATCCTGTCAAAAATACTGATTAAATTGAAAATCAAGTTATCATCTTATTGGAAAATTACTAATTAAACAGGGAAACTGACCATATCCGTCAAAATAATCAAGAATGAGTTGCAGAAGATTACCTTTTAATGATTTTCTAAGCATCCAGTATACATTATACGCCTAATAGGAGTAAAAAATCTTTTCTAAATACCGAGGTACACTTTCTAAGATTTATCTACTACAAAATGTATTTCATTATTGTTATATCTTTAAAGTTACCTATTTCAATGAACTCGCACTTTAAAATAAAGTATTTGTTTCCTGTGTTCTTTTATTTGATATCCCCCCCCCCCTAGATTTACTGACAATTAAGAATAATTAAAAATATACGAATGTAATGATATTTATAAGTAAAGATGGTTTTCTTTTTAATTTAGCTATCCTAGTAAATTCAACTACTGAAGAAACTTATTCTTCTGTTTTCTGGTTTTTAAGTCATTTTTAATTAGCCACGCAAAGTAAAACAAGAGTATTTCAACAAATAAAGTAAAAACTGTTTCCAACATTGCTTATTTTGCATTTCTTTCTTTCTGTTTTGTATCATCTGTCAATTTGTCACGGTGTTTTGAAATTTTTGTGACAGAAGAATTGATGTTAAAAAAATTATCTAGGACGTCTTTTGGAAGCAACTGCAAAATTGTTTTTAAAACGTCAGTTAATGATTTCTAAAATTAACAATGTCAAATGTTTTATTCATTCATACATATCTTTCTCTTAAAATTATACATCAGTTAATACTATTAATTGTAATTTAAGAGCACAATAGAAAAAGAACATTTAAATTAACTCTTATGAAAAGTGTTCCTAAGATTAAAAGAATTCCTTTATAGCTGCAAGATTTTTCGGGCAAAGAACTTTCAATGTCATTCGTTGTTATTTTGAACGTTAACATACATGTATTTTTTTATCTTTGATAAAAAAAGGCAAAAGTTCTAAAAATTTACAGTAGTATATATACAATTTACTTAACCTTTTTAATATACCAAACACTTCCTCATTAATCACAGTTTAAAATGAAATTAAGGGCAATGATCACAACAATTCACAAAAGTTCAGTTATTTCTATGAGTTTTATATATATAATACGTAACTTTAGTAGGCTTCACTAAAAATAAGCATCAAGGCTTTATATAATAAAATCAACTTTTATTATAATTGGGAAAAAATGTATCCATTCTCTACAGCAATGACAAGTCATCTCCCCAAAATCAGTTTTTTTTTTCATTTTTAGAAAGTGGATGGCAGTACTTTTTTTCCAAAATTCATATGAATGAAAAATTAATATGGAGATAACGAACAGTATTCAGGCTCAGAAGTCCATTAAACAATACAAAACAGGAGCAGAGCAAACACGGACCTCCAAAACATTAGAGGTGGGATCAGGTGCCATGGAGGAGTGAGCATCCCCTGCCGATCGGTCACACCCGCCGTGTGCTCCTTGTCATGATCGGGAAATAACGGAAAAATCCATCGACAATTCAGTGTGTAAATAATGGTCTAACAATTAGTATGAAAAATGTCAGTCAGCATTTGACTCAATGATAGATTGTATTTACTGACAAGGTCATTGTATCGACCATAGAACTTACGAAATGATGAAAAAGATATAACACTATATTTGCATTTGAGATTAAATTTGAACTTAAGTTTTGAATTTGAAGTGAAATTCAGTTTGATTATTTGAAGAATCAGTGTATACGTAACAATCAAGCTTATTTAAACATTTTCATTTATAAAAAAGAAAAGTTGTCAGTTAAGTCCAAATTGAAATTTCCATAATAATTTATTAGATTTACTGATTTTTTAATAAAAGCATATTTGGCTATCCAAATATTTAACCCCTACTAGTATATGGATTCCACTATCATGTTGTAAATATTAAATTTACTAGATGGACGTAAATGCAAAATGTACAGTATGATTATCAGGTTGTAAATTTTACATTTATCTCCACCTAGTAAATTCAAAATTTACAGGATACCACACCCATTCAATGTATTAAATGGCTAAAATCAGTAATTGTATTTGCTTTACACATATATATCAATTTCTGTTAATGCACCCTTAAATTGTCTGCACCCTATAAAAAGTGTACAGGCAATTCAGGCCCTGATATTATTTCGGTCCTGTTTAAAGTTTGGTCCGATCCCATTGCTGACAACGATGTAATTCGCAGTCGCATGGAAAAGTGCCGCAATATTTAAAAGATAAAATCAATTAAATCAAAAGAAGTTATTTCCCGATTTACTATTAATAAAGCACAAAAATATAGAGTCGATAATTCTTTTATAGAAGATTATATTTATGAAGATTCAGCACTTTATATATTATATATATACTTTATATATATATTTCATATTTTCAACACAAACTCGGTTGTCATACCACTATTTACTGTGACAAACTATTAATCTTGTTACTTTATTTACCTTTCCACGTTTCCAAACAGCCCTATATTGTCTTCGAGTAAAGAAACAAGATTTTGAGTAAAATACATGGTTGATTAACGGATACCATGTTTTGGGAGGGGTAACGCATATAATACACGAAATAATACCCGAAGTTAGCTACAAAAAAAAATTGGCGCCGTAAATCGTCGGATTTTATACTCTCAAATTCCTATCTTGTGATTGGTCATCCATAAAATTACCTTCATATTAGAAATCATTATGATTCTACGTATTCACACAAGTTCTCTAAAGTTAATATTAGAGTTCCTCATTGACATTATTTATGGAGTCTTTGGAGTCCTGGTCTATCTCTACAATCTACTGGAGTTGCAATGGGCAGTAAGTGAACTCCTTTGTTAGCCGACCTGTATTTATATTCATAGGAAGCAGAATTTATTCAAAAACTTTAACAAGAGGAGAAGAAAATCCGTGTTTTATTCTCCAATTGCAGGGTTCGATATATCGCCGATCGACTTTCATCAATTACCGTAACAAATTTTTTTCATTCATATATATGTCTATATTTGATGTACTTGAAATGAAATTTAAGACCCCACTGAGTCTGTTTCATATTTGGATGTTTTACTTACTGACAGACATTTATGGCCATCTAACAATTGCTAGTGAATTGTTTGACAAACGTGATCGATAACTTCAACTTTTTTATCTTCAGTTTCTCTTATTTATGTAGCAATATACTCATTGTCATCTGTATATGATGTTTGTGTCTCCCAATTGAGTTGATATTAGTCGATAGGATTATGCTTAGAGGATTTCTGTCTACCATTAATCTGTTAATCAAAGCCGACAACGGTAAATGTGACCATACTTACTCCTCCACTGCACCAGTTTCCACCTTTGGTTTTTTCATATGTCTGCGTTTGCTCTGCTTTCAATTTGTAATTTTTAACTGGACTTTAGGCATGATTACTTTTATTTTTATGTTTAATTGACTGTAAACGTTAATGTCAGATTAACAACTTTACTATATTAACGGGTGATTTCAGTTTTTCCATTATCAACTTCCCCTATTTATATAGTAATGTTCCAATATCCCCTTCGTATGGTTTTTAAGTCGCCCAACTGATTCATTATGAATCTACGTATTACAATTCTGAGTATGATTATTTTTTTAAACCGAGGAAGGCTACTGAGAAGTAAGTTGATGTTACGGGGCTTTCTTTGATCTCGTTTAAAGTAAACATTTCACAAATTCCATGGTCGATATAGTGACCATGTTTGCAAAACCAACCTATCATTGGGTCTTGCTTTGACCGACATATTTTATACCAGTTGAAAAGCCATTGTTTTTATATACATATTTTGACTACGGATTAATTCCTTACTCGATCAATAATGAGGACTCACTGCGGATGCAACAGGGGATGCTTGCTCCCCCTATAGGCCCCTGATCCCACCTCGGATGTTTCCACGGGTTCGCGTTTATTGCATGTTCATTGTTCGTATTGTTTAATAGGAGTCGTGGGGTAGATCACTTTTCCTTTATGTTCACTTTTTTATCCGTTGAACAAACTACACAAACATTTCAGGACATTATATTGCACTTCGCCTATGACTTTTTTTTTCAGTGGTTCAAAAAACAACTATGAATAATAACGTATTTTTTCTGATTAAAAAGAAAAAAAACATGCAAACAACAAATAGTAATAAAGTGAATTCTGAATATCATCAATAATGTCATAATATTTACATAACAATTGACCTAGAAGGTTGTATTTATGATGTACAGTACATGTATATAATTCCAAGTAGTCTGAAATAACCAGTTAAAACAATACAAGCGCAGTAACTCATATAAAAGCACTATATTCCAATCGTTTTGAAATGATCATGGGAATTCGAATAATATATTTATATTTTATCAATATTTATTATTATAAAAAAGAGATAAAGATTATTCAAAATAAGTAAAACCACCAAAATCTGTCTTTTTGCAGTCATAAAAAGGAGAAAATTGTCATTCAAAATGGAGTTAAACCAGCATAAGACTGAACACTGTACAAGTAAAATATATATGTCACCGGTCTGGAAAAAAAAAATTCTAAACATAGGAATTATAAATAAATGCAATGATTTTATGAAGAAAACAGACTTTCACCTCAAGCTATACTTTCTAGTTTGCAAATTTCTAAAGTTACGCTGTTTATTTGTAATTAGGTAGTTTGAGACGGAGCTAGGGCAAATAATGAAATCGTACTTTTATAATGCTGCAATAATTTTAATAAATGCAAAGCAACATCTGGATTATTACATCAACACTATTTAATTAAGTTATCAAAATTATAACAGGTGCTTATTATTTATTGAAAGTAAAAAAAAAAAATCTGTCCTTTGCCAGACCTTATCTGTACAATCATGTACACATTGCGATCCACACTCGTTATCTAGGTGTGATACGATGTCCCCAAACTTCAGGGGCATGTAAAACCTCTCAGCAAACACCAGGAAGATGTCTCGAGCGTATCAGTTTATTATAAGGTCTGTAGACAAATTCGTTCCATCCAAATTTCGTCCTCTGTGGAATCATGAAGCAGGTTTGTTATAACATATATACTCTAAATTATCGAATTTATTACCTGGGTATTGAAAATTCTACCTCTATGTGTAGGTCAAAGCGTTCTAAATTTCTTTGCAGGGCATTTATATGTTGTCATAACAGTCATATTGTGCATGACCGTCCATTGTTTTATACAAAGACCTGTCAGTTTGAGTGTGTGATGTGAAAATCATATAATTTACTTTTAACAGGTCCAAAAACTATATTCTTCTGGGCGCCACTTATGAAATGGGTAAATATATATATTAACCCCTACAAATCCAAGACATGATTTGAAAGATCAATAGTTCTCAGCGTATTTTCCATCTTTTGTTTATTGAAATTATAATTTTTTTTTCATTTCCATTTTGAAAATACGGCAGAGTATAGCTAATATGAGACTTAATATAAAGAAATCTTGAAAGTTCGTGGGATAAATATTTATATATTTTTACAATAATATATTTTTAGGTTTTGGTGGGGGCAGGTATTGGGGATCTTATGAGACCTGCTCCTAATATTAGTCTTTTTCAGTCTACCTCCATGTTATCAGGTAAGTTAATTAAAACAAAAAAGCTATTAAAATATAATATTATAATCACAAATGTATAGAATTGTATATAAAAATTCATGGCATAACTTTAGTAAAATTTTACGTATGTGTAGTGTATTATTACTGATGTTGCTGCATGTAATGTTGCATACTTCTATATCTCAACCTTTCACATTCGAACCTATTACCAAAATTGCTTCCTACAGCTCCTGGCCTGTCTCAAAATACATCATTTTTTTCATTTTTAACCGCTTTTTCAGGTTATATTTGGACCAGGTGGTGTTTCATTATCAAACCAAAAAATCTGAATCTTGCTCTCATAAACTTTTTAGTCGGGGTAAATGGAACTGTTCAGTGTTTCAGGGTTTATCGGTGAGTTCACCTCTAGATCCCATTTTCAGAATTCAGAATAAAAAATAAATCTACTTTGTAATCCCTCTCTCTCTCTCTCTCTCTCTCTCGTTTATCAAAATTTATATTCTCTATTTCAGATACAGAAAATCAGTTGGAAAGACGATGTCATTTCGGGATTAGAACGAGAACCAAGAAATAAAATGAAACAATTCGAAATCTCTGTCATGCGAAGGAAAGCAGCGTCAAACATCATCCATACCATACTATTAATATACATGTACATATTGCATCGTCTCTTATGCAATAAACAAATACTTTGTGCACTCAGAACACATATATACAAGACTATAATTAAGTACATACATTTTTTTCTTTTACTTTAAGCTACTAAATAATAAATATGAATATACAGTGAAAGGTTCAGGGTGAGAAAGAAAATCGAAACGTAAAAGAGATGCAAATGTACCATTGTTCAATTATTAAATATTAATTGTTCAACATGTTTCTAGCTTTATTTATTTATTTATTTTGAATTTATTATTATTATTTTACATATTTACTATCATAATAAACAAAACAAAAAATATCAAATTGTATAACTGACAAGTGGTAGGTTTTGTATAGAAATTGTCTATATTTTGAAAAGAAATATGAGCAACTGCTTGACTTTTTGCGTTTTCCCTGATTGAACTGTGATAAAGTACTAAACGGTATGAACGTTTTATTACATTTCTTTCTATAATCTGGAATTTTAAAAATAAGCGATTAACGAAAAACTGTCTTTTATATGTCCTCACTCGAGGTGATATCAAATAGAAAAAAAAGTATTAGTACGGGTGGGGTTCGAACCCACGCGGACATTCGTCCATTGGAACTTAAGTCCAACGCCTTAACCACTCGGCCACCGTACTTGCATGACTACTACAATTGTAGAAAATTATCAGTTTAAACTGTAATGGACAATCTCTATAAGGTCCGTAATAATTAATGAAATTCTTGAATTTAAATCACATTTTGTTTTAAATACTTAAAAAATAATGGAGATATAAAAACTGCCTTTATTATGTGAACTGATCAATGATAGAGCACATGCCGATGTCTTAGTTTCGGATTTGAGTGTGACGTCATAACGACCAACTTGTTGTCATCATGGCTGCCGTGTACCACGATCGATTCCGTGTTTCTTCATACTCGTAATATCTGATTAGTGAAGGTTCTTTTGAACTTTATATCAGTGAGATGTGAAAAGATTTTTAGCAAGGATATTCAATTAAAACGTTTAATAGATTTTTCCATTGGGGTCGAGGTCTTCTATTATTTATTCTGGTTTCCAACAACAAGATCCAACGACCCACGTCAAGTGCGTACACGTTAAGTCGCTCATTGCTATCGGACAAACCAGCTGTTTTTAATAACAGTCTTTAACCCATCCAAATGGGAAATTGTTTGTGTAAACGAAAACGTGAGCCAAAGAGGTAAGTTTGTTTAAACAGGTCCAAGAAAATCTGTAGATCTATACATGTAGGTATTTCGTGAAATGTTATAAAGTAAACTTGATGTAACAATTCTAACAAGTATCTTTCAAATTAATGAAACATTAACAAAACTTTCAAATTGTTAGTTATAGCCAGTCTTTGATAGTGCACAGTTCATAAAACACCAGAGAAACAAAATATAAACCAAGCCTCATTTTAACAATTTTCATCAAAAGATACCTATTTTTCTTTTTTGACAGGACTTTAACATTGGGACTGTTTGGTGTGGACAATGCAGGAAAAACAACCACTGTGAAAGTTTTAGCAGGAGGTAATTCTTCTTCTTCCAGTAATGTAAAGGCTCTAATGTTGGGCATTTCCCCACATGTTTAAAGGTTAAAATCATTCAATTGCTAAATGTACACATATAGACAACTGTGCTTTTTCCTAAGTTGTGAATGTAATAAGGAAAACAAAATTAACAACTTTCGAGAGATCATTAGTGGCTGTTGACACTCCAGGTATAATTAAATATAACAATTTCATTGATAGACTAGACTTTAGGTAGTCGGTAATATACATGTAGGAAACTCATGTCACACCCAACTGACGTATGTATTAGAGTAAGTGTAGATCAGCATATATGAAAAGTCAGCTAAGTTCAGTGTCATTAATCAGAGCATAAAATGTTTCCTTTGATCCACATGTTAGACAGCAACAAAATGTTGTTAAGTTTCAAATTTCTAACAGTCATCATGGTCATAAAACAAAATCTCATCTAAATTTTTCAAAACAGAGCCCCACACCGACACCACACCTACTGTGGGCTTCAACAATGCAGACATTGGAATTCATCACTATGATATCAAGTTTTATGACTTGGGTGGTGGCAAAAAGATTCGAGACATTTGGCAGACATACTTTCCAGAAATTTATGGAATTGTGTATGTGGTTGATTCCACCGCAGCGGATAGAATGGAAGAAGTTAAACACAATTTGAAGGTTTTATTAGAAAATGAGAAAGTCCAGGGAAAACCAGTGTTACTGTAAGTTGAGATAAATTCAGGATATGTTTTGGTTAGTCTATAGATGCAAAATAAAACACCAGTCCAATGCTCCAGGCTGATAAAATTACTGTCTGGCTTGTGAAAAAAACCCAAATAAGTCTATTGTGCTTATGTAAAAAAAAAAATGCTTGCATATGAATTAATTTTCATGGTTGGCTAAAGGAACATTAGAAATTACAAAAGTTAATGTTGAACCTCAACTGTGTCATAGTATAACTTTTACAATTTTTTTCAATATAAATAAAGTTCTAGCTTGATAATGATTCAATTGTATCAAATGGGCTCATATTCAGAAAAAGTATTGGGCTAGCTGGTTCGAAAGATGTTGATTCCATAAATCTTCAACCCAGTTTCATAAAACTCCAACTCAGAGAGGCTGTTGATGAATAAAGAAATTTTAGCAGATATTGTCTACCAAGTTTAAGAGTTCATATAGCATTTTAAAGCCATACTGTTATAAATAGACATTGTCTTTTTTACACAAACATAAAGGTGATTTCCATTAAGGACATTCCAGGCTAATGTTTTTTATTTTTAATTTTACTTCCAATGATGTGTATTACCTTTGTTTTATTATTTAGTTTGGCAAATAAACAAGACCAGGAATCAGCCTTAGACGAGGTGGACATCATGGAGCAACTGAGTTTGGAAAACATTGTCAACATCAACAAGTGCCCTTGTAGAATTGTGAGATGCACATTTATTTATTTATTTTTTTTAAAAACAAAAGTACTATGCATTCTTTTATTTGATTTTTTAAAAAATATTTTTCTTTATTCATAAGTAAATTCTGAGAGTGGTGTCTTAATGATGAGTATTAGGGTATAACAGTGCAGCAGAACAGTGATATCTGGATACATTGTACAATAAAATGAAAATGTGTAACACGAGCTTTGATTGGTTACAAAGCCAGGTGTTTCTTCATAGTTTCTCTATGATAAAAAGCAAATAACATGATGTCACCATGCATTGCAAGATATAGTAAATCTTATCAATAACTTGAAACACAGTTGATTGGACTTGTTTACAAAGAATTTATTTCGGTACATAGGAAATAAATTCGTTATCCAGGTCCAATCAAGGGTGTACAGGGATTTACCCCTGGTTGTATTCCATACACCCTTTGGTTATCCAGGTCTATTCATTGATTGGACCTGGATAACTAATATGATTATGTTTATTTACAAACAATGCTTTATCATCTAACACATTTTATCCCATACTCAGTATAAAATGATTAAAATTTTACATTAATATGTTTCATAAATGGCCTTAATTACCAACACTCTGAAGCACATAAGACACTTGTTGAAGTCAAATACAAAATGAACAACCGCACTTTAATTTTAGGAAACATGTTCAGCCATTAAAGGAACTGGGAAAAAGATGGATGCAAGCATTAAGAATGGAATTAAATGGTTGTGTGGGATGATTGACCACAACTGGGAAAAGTACCACACACGAGTAGAAAGGGACATGGAGGAGGATCGAAAACGGAGGGAGGCTGAGCTGGAGGCCAGGAGGGAGAGGGTCAGGAAACAACGGGAAGAAAGGTGAGGTGGTCTCAAATTTAGTAGATGTTTGTTTGATGGTAGGGAAGGACTTGAGAAAGTAGGTGGGGGAGGGGGTAGGTGGGGGCAACATATAGTAAGAAATGGAGCCCAAAGAGAAAAATTCAAACAAAAAAACATACATTGAATGTGAAGAATTAAAAACAGAGTTGATTGAAATCTTCCATCATGAAAGAGTTTGAGATGTTTAGCATGAATTTATGATATATACATATGTATTAAACTTGTATTAAAAGAAGAAGAAGAAAAAAAAAAGATCTGATCAATGTGTGTGCTTAAAAATATATTGGACAATGATATAAAATAAGTGGTCTTTTCATTGCACAAGTATTTTAAATTCTTATCTGATTGATATTTATATAATTCAGGGAAAGAAAAGAACGAGAGGAGAATGAGCGTCTAGGCATCAAACCCCCCCAGGAGGAGGAGGAAGACATTGAAGAAATGGATGGTGGACCGTTCCGACGACTTGATGTTCAAGCATTGGAGAAAAAGGTATGGTAACTAAGGAATCATACATGTCTCAAATTAATACAGATTATTGATTTATTTTTTTGATTTGATTTTTTTTCCTTAATTTCATACAACTCTATATCCAAATACTTTGATGTTATCCCTTGTCTTTATATACAAACTTTTCACTTTTTGACATTAAATCCTCGCAATTAATAAAAAAATTAAAAATACCTGTTAGCACTTAGCAAATATTTTTTTTCATGAACTTTGATATTTATTTCACATATAAATCATAGCAGATTTGGGGGATTCTCTATAAAGTATTATATGTAAAATTCTCAGCATTTCAAATTGTTCTTGACTGTGTTACACAGAATGTCTTGAATCAATTAAAATTTTATGTAATTTCAGTCAAACCTTAATAGCAAATTTGTGGCATGGTAAAGTTTGTACTGAAAGAGTGAGAGTTGTGTGAAATTTATTTTGTCTTTCTAACATGCTAACTGCTTTGCACATACTTTTTCCACTTCGATAATTACACTATCAAGTGTATTTTTATTTGGTGTTAAATGAGTCTTTCTACTGTTAAATTCACACATTTTCTATGACATGAACAAGGTCAAAAAAATCTTTTGATGGCTGTATGTCTGTTGTAGATGTGAATTTGTGGTGACTGATTTTAATATGTTTGTACAAAATTAATATTCCCACCAAAAAAAAAAAAATGAATTAATTCTTTGAAGATTATTTGAAGAATATCAGGATGACCAAATTGTAACATTAATATTACAAAAGATCATTCATTGTCAAGATGTGTGCTGAAAAAATCTTTTTATTTTTTATTATTTTTTTTTTTTTGTTTTGGAAAGCAAGATTGCACATTCAGTATTTAATAGAATCTACAGACTAAGTCTGATATGCAAAATGAGTACATGTTCAGTATTTGTATATTTAAAAAAAGTATAACTTGTATACAAGTAATCTCTTCTTTCTTTCATGTCACTAGGAAAGAAAATTAAAAGAAGAAAAAAGGAGGAAGAAAGAAAAACAAAAGAAATATGATGAAAATAATGAAGAGGATGAGAAAGGATCTGATGAAGAAATTCCTCACTCAGCTCGTCGCCTCAACTACAGCAATTCTCTATTATACGCAAACTCAATAAACAACAACAGAAATGATGATGATGACAATGAAGGGTTTCTACCTCCAGTACAGAAGAGGGACACTCCTAGGTTACCTCCCTTACAGAGACCTATAGGAACAAAATTCACCGAAGAATCACCAGTTAGAAAACTCAAGAAGAAAAAGAAGAAACCTAAACTTAAGGCCTTGAAGGAAAATGTAGAGGAAAATTCTTTGGATGTTGTAAATCAAAATTATTCTAGTTATAGAACTACCTCTAGTGATGTAATGGATGACCAGAGAGAAGGGGAGATCAACACATGGTACAAAGAATCAGTGAACTCTTTATCAAAAATTGAAGTAAATGCAATGTCTTCTTTATGTCGGGCCCAGAATGGGATCACCAATGACGGATATAGTAAAGAATCTGTGGATGATGAAGTGGAATTGACAACCCGTAAAAAGAAGAGGAAGGGAAGTAGGAAGAAGCCTAGGTCTGAGGATGAAGTCAATGGATATGGACATGACTTGACCACTCCTCGGACGCTGGCCGGAGAGGAGGAAACTGATGATGATGTCACTCCAAGGAGGGAGAAGCTAAAAAGAGCAAATGCCATGGAAGGTATGTCGCTAAAACATAAAAATAGTTAATTTACAAACAGAGAGTATAAATATAATGATGATTTAATCCATGTTTCTCTGTAGGATGTACTTCAAAGTTCCTACTTAGAAATATGACAAATATGTTAATGTACTGTATATTCATGTCATAAGATTGTCAGAGTAAATATTGATGAAACACTTTTATCATTTAAATATTTTTTGGATAAACTTAATATTGTTTAAGAAAATCAAATGTATAAACTCTTATATATTTCTCTAGCGGAAAGTACATGTAAATTGTAACTAGATGTTTGACAGCATTAAAATATACATCTGCCTGGCAGTGCAAATGTACTTAACATGCAATTATAACGACTGATAGGTGATGACAAAGAAATAAAAACCAACCGCAAGAAGAAAAGCTACCTCAGAAACAACAAAACCTACCCCTCAGACGATGAATCCTTCTCTGGGGAAGATGGGAGGGACAGGGATTTCTCTTGGACCATGAACCCCATGGGAAAACCTTTCTCTCCACGAGGAGCTAAAATGACAACCTCTCACACCAACTGGGATAAAAAGAAATTTACTCCCCGAGACATTGATTTTTCTAGTAAGTATCATCTTGTAGTGATAAAAATGGAACAAAAATGATTTTACAATTTATTAAGAGTGCAATCAATAGGATTCTAATAGTAATTTGCAATAATTATTGTTGTATAATGAATGAGGTATGGCTTATACTTAAAAAAATCACTTAGTGCAGCAATATAGATTTTGATTGAGTCCAACTTGATAATGTGTTTAAGAGCACTCCACAGCTTCTCTTTCACCATTTATAACAAAGGTCACCTTTTTTTCAGTTTCCTCGACTCGTAACTGGGGACTGGCAGAAGATTTACCTGAAATCGACAACACTGCTGTTTCTTCCAGAAGGCTGAGGTCAAATGTGGAAGATGATGAAGACATTGTTTATTAAACTTCAGCAAGGAAGAATATGTGTGTGACTCCTCTTTTTTTCAGGATGATTTTGAACTTTCGCTTTGTTTATTGTTTAATGTTGGCCTGCACATCAGAAAATTTTAAAATACCAATATTCAATAATAAAAAATTGTATAGTCATTTTTGTTGAGCCCTAGCTTCAAGTAAAAGTCATTAATTTATAAGGTCAGTGTATGCAATTCATTTGACAAATTGTGTCAAAGGTCAAACTTCGAAAATGAGATATCAATGTGTGTATATTTCTTCTATCTGCAATGTTTTGCCTAATTATTAATGCACTAATTCATGAATATTGCCTTTATGATTTTATATAAATATCATAAAAAAATGTACTGAAGACATTTTTCATGAACATTGCCAAATATGATTTTATATAAATATCATATGAACATGTACTAAGCACACTATTTTATCATGGAGATAAATAGTGCATGACAGGCATTTGCATTAAATTTCGAGTACCCTTAAATATGAAGAAAATATCTAAAACACATTTATGTACAAATACATATGAAGAGTAGTCCTTCAATGCAAAGAGGAGTTTTTGGTGGCCTGGACTTTGAGTTTTTCAGACAAAGTTTTAAGTAAGGTTGTAGTTTATTGTAGTTTAGTTCTAGAACCTTGAGTTTTTGTTTTAGAAATGACTAGAATTCTCAGGGTTGTTCTAGAATCCTCAGTTAATAACTGGATTTTCCATCTTACTTGTATGTTTCTAGAATCTTCATCAATTTCTTGTGTTCTAAAGTTTAAGACATTGTTCTACATGTACACATGTATTCAGTAGATATTGTGCATGTGTGTATATTGTTAGAGGCATAGTATACCTTGTAATCTTTTATACTAGAAAATTTTTTTAAGAAGACATGTAGCATATATGTAGAGATTATTTTAACTTCAGTATATTTTAATAATGTGATCATTTGTTTATGCTTTATACAACATGTCTTTACTAAAACGTTTCTTTAACTTGGATACACAAGTTTTCTTTAAAGTGAAGAATGTATGTGACTATGTGCCTCAACTATACAGAAAGATAGTTTTGTGCCAAATATTGTAACTTTAATAAGACTAATGTGTACACATTATAGATATTGATTATTTTATTTTCTTTGTCAGTTATAATGATAAATATTTTATGAAATATTGATCAATCAATGATAAATGCAACATATTTTTTGTACTGTAAATGTACAGCTGTACATATTTTAGCTGTAATCATAATTTAGTTCCTGTCGCGCTGCGTCTTGTCCACTGATTTATGTACATGCTGATATTTGATGAAAACTAATACATGTAGTTAGTGCACTTAAACTTTAATGATTGTGCTAATTAGTTGAAGAGGACAGTTGCACTAAATTTTGAGTGCACTAATTTATTTATGTAAGTGTAATTAACAAGGTTTAACAGCTAATTTTGTATCTGTCAAAAAATGTTTGAAAATATTTTATATTTTCATCGTATGAAATGTGCATGTTTCTAAGAAATGAAGGGGTATTATGTTTATTTATACCTCAATTTACATACAAGAAAGTTTTTGCCTAGGATATTAGAGATGTGTATTATCTCCCCTTTCAAAAACGAAATCGAAGAGTTTATTTGTTTTAATACCTCTGTTTTTAATCCAAATGAGAATTGTAAACATAATCTTTATTTTGTAGGTCGTACACTTTTGCATATGTACCTGTACAATATATCTATTGGGACGTATTGTAAATTTAAACTATTTAATGCATTGGTTAGTCCTGAATTGATTCTTCTGTCACAATTTCTATATTATTATCCTTATGTGGTCAAGTGCTACTACGTGTAGTTAGTTTTCTGGGAATAAACTTGAGTGAATTCCTTGCTACAACAATACCGTCCTAATAATGTTATCTGTGATACAGAAAAGTATTTTAAAATAAGTACTCATTTTTTTTTAATTTTCACCATATTTTTAGCTTTAATTAATTATGGAGTGATTGTGATATAAATGTTTATGATACATACTGAACAAGAGTGTGTATACATTCAATTTTTCTCTAGGAGAAATTGTTTTACAAGTGTACACATACATGCATGTATTATTTTTACCTTGAACATGACCAGCATTATAAAAGAGATCTGATCATTATATAAAATTGAATGTCAAATTATTCTTACCTTCTTTTAGATCATGCAGATATTTGTTAAAAATATACAGCTGAGCTTTGGCATCTAGAACATCGATATCTCAAATACCATGAATATGTTGAAGCAAGTTGAATGTCGGAACCACTTAATTTTTTAATGAATTTTAACCTCAGTATCTTGGAAATTTTTCTTGATCCCCATTGAGTTCGAGATAACAAGGTTTGACAGTACATTTATATTGGACATTTACATGTTCTGTTGTTAAAAAAAAAAAAAAAAGGCATTGCCCCATGGACCTGGTTTGAGGATATGTTTCAAGATGCAGAATACTTTTTTATATCAGGGAAGATACTCTCTTCACATTTTCATGTGAAGTATGTTCCATGGCATGATTGTTAACATTGCTATCTAGTCATTTTTGCAAGGCCTGTGATCAAACAATAAATAAATACATGTATACATGAAGTAACGTAGTTACACGTAGAATCAGTAATGCTGTAATATGGTCAAATTTGTTGAATTGTTTTTAGTATACTTCAAGCTTGCAGTAGTTAATAATGATATAAAATTATGAAGTGTATAATTATTGGGGTTTTAATGTTTATGATTACATCACAAGAATATGAAGAAAATTATTCCCTCTCCTAGATAATTGATGTGTACATATATACATGTAATATGTACACGTACCTCAAAAATAGGGTACACATGTTTATATGACAACATGTTTAGATCAGATTTGATTCTAGTATAAGATAACAAAATTATTCAAATATTCACTGGATATAACAAATTTTTGATATGATGAAATAATTTTTGTGCTGCCTTAAAAGTTTGTAATATTATGTACAAGTATAATATAACCTTATACTGTATAAGTAACATCTAAAACCATTTCAAGTAGAACTGTGCAAGTGTTTTTGATTATCGGACATGAGATCTGATCTAGTACATTATACACAAACTTTATAGCTTTTATTATCCCATAATACAGATTCTGATGTTATGACATTACAGAATATCTCTTCACCAGTATTTGAATTATTTATGAATTCATGGACATTGATTAACAGACACCACCATTATCATCTAAGTGATCTTTTTTGTTTGTTTTAGGGAAGCGCTAAGTGCAGTTTTTGCACAGTTATATATGATTTTCAGAATGAGATTCTCTTTTTACTAATAGGATAAAGCATATCATTTGTTATGTACGCAAAAAATAAAGTTTTTTTTAAAAGTCATATTGTAATCTTGTTTTGACTTAGTCCTTCTCATCAGTAAAATAGGGGACATTCAATGTTTTATTGTTGGATATGGAAATTATTTCATACAAGTGGGACAGGATTTTTTTTTTATATTTTCACAAGTGGAAAAAATAAAACAATAGGCCCATGGTCCACAATGCTCATTTGAGTCACTATGGCCCTGCTGTTCATTGCATTTAAAATTTTGATCACATATTGTGTCCTCACCCTACCACTGGAGTCCATGATTTAAAAAAAAAAAATTGAATCTACACTATCTGAGAATGCTTCCATATAAATATAGCTAATCCTGGCCTTGCTGTTCTTAAGATTTTTTAAAGATTTTTTTCCTATGTAAAACTTTGATCATCCACTATGGCCCCATCCTACCCTTGGGGGTACATGTACTGATTTGAATAAAGAACAAGGTACGGTTTCAATACAAATCTGGCCCCATATTTTTCTAAAATATGAGTGATGTAAGGAAATAAAATTTATGCTTTCTGAATCAGTGAAATTCCATGTAGTAAGAACACACAAATCGTTTTTCTCATGACTGCCTAAATGCTAATGGTGATGCCACCTGTGCATTTTCCCGTATTTTCTTAAACTGTTGCAGAAGACATCAATTTTCAGTGGAATTTTCTTTAAGACAAGAGGCCCACGGGCCTTATAGGTCACCTGAGTATCATGTATCAACTTTGCCCTGAGCCCTGCTCTTATAACACCAGAATCTTGATCCAGGGGACATAAAATTCACTATTTTGGAAGAGGCACCCTTACTCATCATAACTATACTATGAGTTCATTAGCTTGATAACCAGAAGAAAAGGAGATTTTCAAAGAATTATTGCATTTTTTTTTTTTACAATGTAATTATTAGAGCCCTGCCCTAACACCATAACCCCTGACCCAGGGGTCATGAAATTTACAATTTTGGAAGAGGCACCTTTACTCATCATAACTATGCATTCAGTTTGTTTGCTAAATACCCCAGCTCAAAGAAGATTTTAAAAGAAATAATGCATTTTCACTAGATATTCAACAGAGACCTAACCTAACACCAGAACCCCTGACCCTGGGGCCATGAATTTCACAATTTTGGAAGAGGCACCCTTACTCATCATTACTATACTCTTAGTTCATCGGCTTAATACCAAGGAGAAGATTGTCAATGAATAATTGCATTTTTACTATGTAATCATTAAAGCCCCGCCCTAAATAATCATATCTGTGCATTCAGTTTGTTTGCCCTGGATTAGAGAGGAAGATTTTTAAACAAATAATGCATTTTCACTATATATTCAACAGAGCCCCAACCTAGCACCAGAACCCTGACCCTGGGGTCATAAATTTCACAATTTTGGTAGAGGGCTCAATGCTTATTACAATCATGCCAACAGTTTGACTGCTTGATGTCCAATGGTAAAGAAGAAGATTTCTAAAGATTGCATTAATTTTGATGGTTTTAGCCCCACCCCTCAGGCCCCAGGGGGGTAGGGGTCATGGATTTCACAATTTTTACTCCCCACCACCCACAGATGCTATATGCCAAATTTGGTTGAAATTGGTTCAGTGGTTCTAGAGAAGAAGCTGAAAATGTTCAAATGTTAACGCATGTCGGACAATGCACGCCAAAGGACGAAAACAGATAGCAATAGGTCACCTGAGTAAACTCAGGTGACCTAAAAACATAGAGCACATGCATCGCCCACAAAGATTTTTTAGATATGTGATTTTTCAAAGCATTTTACACATTCAACTTATCCAAAAATTGAAGTGGGAGACGGCTGTGGACACTTCTTTTCTAAAGAAAATAATCCCAAATGAGTCATTTTAAGGCTTTTTCTGTTCAAAACTTTGTACCAAATTAATGACATCATTTTCCCAGAATGGTCCTCTGCCATGTCATATTCTTTCATGATATATCACATTCATCTACTCAACTCATATTAGAGCC